ATACACAGGGACGATTTTGACATGACTTTCACAAACGCTTGGAACTCCTTCATGGGTTTTGGCACACCTGATATGTTCCTAAAAGCAAAACTTCGCCATGTCAGGAAGGTCATCAACAAATGGAGGAACATAAACTTGATGAAAGAATCAAACTTGCTTGTTCAATTAAGGAAAAGAGTGGAGGACCTTGAAGAAACGGCTGAAACGAGAATCTTAACAGAGGCCAAACGATCTGAAAGGAGGGATTGTAAAAGAAAAATTTGTGAATTAGAGAACTTTGCTAAAATAGATATTCAACAAAAAGCAAAAATTAGATGGTTAACGGACAGGGATGAGAATACATGCTTCTTTCACAACATGATCAAGAGCAAGAATCGTAAAAATAGACTATATGGATTACTAATCAATGGGGAGTGGTGTACTGAACCAGCAGATATCAAACATGAAGCCTTCCAATTTTTTGCCAATAAATTTCACGAAAACTTGTGAGAGAGACCAAAACTGATCAATGAAGATTTTAAAATTTTATCTTTAGATCAGAGTGAATTTCTTGATTCACTATTTTCACTAGAGGAAATAAAACATGCAATATGGAGTTGTGGCGGGGACAAATCACCAGGCCCAGACGAATATACATTCAAGGCGTTGAGAAATAAGTGGGACCTAATGAAACATGATATCGTTCGATTTGTTGCATATTTTGAATCTTATGGCATGTTTGCTATGGGGTGCAAGTCGTCATTTATTACACTCATTCCTAAAGTTAAATACCCATTGAATCTTGGTGACTACAGGCCTATTAGTCTAATAGGTCGTATGTACAAAATTGTGGCTAAAATTCTTGCATCAAGACTCAAACGAGTGGTAGGAACTGTGGTCGATGAAGTCCAATATGCATATATCGAAGGAATAAATATATTTGAGGGTCCCCTAGTCATAAATGAAATTTGCACTTGGGCTAAAAAAGCAAAAGAAAAGATCTTTTTATTCAAGGTGGATTTCGAAAAAGCATTTGATTCATTAAATCGGGCCTATCTTGACTCAATCATGGATCAAATGGGCTTCAGTCAAAAATAGAGGGGATGGATACACGGCTGTCTCTCTTCTGCTAGAGCCTCTGTTCTTAAAAATGGATCACCCACGAACGAGTTTTCTATCACCAAAGGAGTACAACAAGGTGACCCATTATCATCGTTCCTCTTTATAATTGCAATGGCAGGCTTAAATGTTGCTATTAAGAGTGCTTTGAAGAAATCCCTTGTCCATGGTATCAACCTACCACATAGTGGTCCAATCCTATCCCACTTATTCTATGCCGACGATGCAATCTTTATGGGCAAGTGGAGTAATTACAATATCAAAAATCCAGCAAGAATTCTGAAACGCTTTTATAAATGCTCCGGATTAAAAGTCAACTTTCACAAATCACGTTTATTGGGCATGGGAATCACAGATTCCGACCTTCAAAGTCAAGCAAAAGTACTTGGATGCCTTAAAATCTCATTACCTTTCACTTATCTCGGAGTCCCGGTGGGGGTAAATATGCCGTTAAAAAAGAATTGGAAACCGATAATTGATAAATTTCAAACCCGTCTCTCAACTTGGAAGGCAAAAACTTTATCTTTTGGAGGTAGATATTTGTTGATCAAATTAGTACTTAACAACCTTCCCACTTATTACTTTTCTTTGTTCAAAGCCCCAAGTGGAATCATCGACAAACTTGAGAAAATGAGAAGGAAGTTCTTATGGAGTGGGAGTGATACCGGTTCAAAGATACATTGGGTATCATGGTCGAAAGTTGTTGCATTAAAAAAAACAGAGGACTTGGAGTAGGGACGTTAAAAGCTCAAAATATTGCTCTACTCACGAAATGGTGGTGGAGACTTAGAGAGAAAAGTGGTGGTTTATGGAGAGAGTGCTTAACAAGTATCCATAACTTAAAACGCATGCCCGTAACGAATATTGCAAAAATCTCGTTGGGTAGCGTATGGAGAAACATTGCCAAAGCCATCAAAACTCTCCCTGAATTCGATATTAATTATCATGAGTTGTTTACATTAATTCCTGGATCGAATGTTAACATTCTTTTTTGGAAAGATAGATGGTGTGGTCCCTTAACATTACAAGAAAGGTTTCCTCACTTATACGAATTGGAATCGGCTAAGCTATGCTTAGTTTCTGACAGAATTAATAGTTCCGGGTTCTCATGAAGGTGGAAGACGCAAGCTATGGATGAGGAAATCGCGAATGATTTGGGAAATTTGTGTTTAATGATTCAGGGGGTTAATACTCAACCTGTGCAGAATGGTTTTCGTTTCACCCTCACCCCGATGGAAATTACTCAGTTAGCACTCTTCGTAATAAAATTGACACCAATATTATCCCTCACATTGGTATAAAGATAAACTGGTCAAAGGTAATTCCTCTCAAAATTCGTTGTTTTAATGGATACTAAGATGGTGTGGTGTATCGAATACTCATTTCGATAAGGTCACAAACTTCCTCAACTTTGCTGCTACATAGGGAAATTGTCCACGAAAGAAGGAGAGGCTGATTGCGGTGTGTTACGCTCTTCTATGGTGTTTATGATTAGCCATGAACAATTTGGTTTTCAAGAAAATACACACAAACCCTGCAAGGATTGCTGACGAGGTGATTTCCCAAACTTATTTATGGTTTAAATTCAAAACAAAGATGAATGAATGTAGGTGGATCGAATAGAGTATTTCCCCATTATGTTAATTATTTTGTAATCCTCATTTTGCTATTGTACTCTGCCCATGATCTAGTTACTTGCTAATCATGTGACTTTTATTTTCATATATATATATATATATATATATATATATATATATATATATATATATATATATATATATATATATATATATATATAGAGAGAGAGAGAGAGAGATAAGTTCAATTGAGAAAATAAAAAAGGTTGAGAATGGGGGAATCATTCTCAACCACTCATTTATTTTTGCCGCAAAAGTCTCCGTTGTACCAGCGGAAATGGGAAAGAAATAGACATGTGTTTTCCAACAAAACATGTTTCCTTAAACTATGCTAATCATTACCTTAATATATACAAAAACATAGTTATTTTTTGTTTTTTTAATTTTTAAAAAACTATTTTTATCGAAAAATGATTTTAAATATACCAAAATTCATGATTTTTTATTCTCTACAAATAGACATCCATATTGATATAGTTTTAAGATAAAATAATTTTTTTTTTAATATTTTCAGTTATCGTTATTCATAAGTGAATAAAAATACATTAGATTTTTAGATGATATCGTTATTCACTTGTAATTATTAGATGATATATTCACTTATGAATATTAGATGATATTTTCATATGTAAATATTACATAGTATTACATGGTATATCACATGTGGATATTACATAATATATTCACTTATGAATATTAGATGATATATTCACTTATGAATATTACACAATATATTCGCATATGAATATTACAAGGTGTTTTCACAAATATATATAATTTTTATATGTTATTAACATATGAATAACATACAGACTTGCATATTTGTTTTTTGTTTTAATAATCATATACTGATTCAGGTGAGAAAACATATTTATATGTGAATATAACGTGGTAATTTAGTTTATGCATTTAATCAAACAGTTAGAGTGCATACAAATTAACTTTTTTTAAAAATGTTAAAAACATGATACTTTGACTATTTAAATCTTACAAAATAGTAGATTAATAGAGAATTATATGAAATTTTTCAGAAAAAAAAAAACGATTTGATCATTTTCTAACCTTAATTTTGAAGTTTTATTTGATGATCGATGTTGAATGAATGATATGAAGTGGATTTTTTGTTGATTATCGATAATGTTGATCTAATGACGCTGGGAGTATAATTAATCGTAGATGTTGAAGATCTGATCGTATTCAAGCAGAATTGAAGGTTGGATTAAAAGAACCAAAAACGAATTTTTGTTGTCAACTGTTGAATGGTGTTGATAAATGTGTTATTGACGAAGATCGACGATTGATTAACATTGGATGACGTTGATGATGGTTTAATTGAAGAAATCTGGAAGATTGTTGAAGGTTGGAGGAGAAATTTGGATGATGAACGATCGATTAGGAATGTGTTTGAACTGTTATCTAATTCTCTACAGTTACGTATTTGAGATTGAAGGTTATTATCATATTTACAAGTTTGTCACCGTGTCTTTTTATGCTTATATTAAATGATTGGCTGCGAATGATTCCCTCATTCTCAACCTTTTTTTTCTCAATTGAACCATCTCTCTCTCTCTCTATATATATATATATATATATATATATATATATATATATATATATATATATATATACACTAGGTGTAAGACCCATGTATTACATGAGTTCATTTAAAAAAAATATGAAAATTCTAAACATTTAAAAAAGTTTGAGATTATAAGAATTGAATTATTAATATTAAGATGTTTTTTTTTTAATTTAAACAAATAATTTAGATAAATAAACAAAGGAAACTAATGAAGTTTTAAATTAGAAATGTTCAAAATAGAAGGAAAATCAATTATTGAAATTGATATGCATTTATTATTAAATTTATTGCAATTATTACATTTAAATATTATGTAGATTTTAATAAAATGAAAAAAACCACAAAATGCCATGTTGAAAAAGTTTAATTGAAAATAACCATAAAATGACATGTGGTCAAATCAATGATAGTGTGACATGTGACAAATTATTTTTCATTTATTAAAGTAGATTTGCGTTTCCAGAAAAAGCAATATAAGTTTTTTAAAACACGAAAACTCCTAAAAATGGTTACGTAATGCAATTAATGCATGAGTTGATTGCATTTGTCACGAGCAAATACTTTTCTTCTTCTATCAAGCTTCGAGAGGGACTTTCAAAATAATGCAATCGAGCATTTTAATGGATTAAATAGCTCAAGGCCAGACCTCGTCAAATGTATTCGGATAAGTATATCCTACTTGCATGTCCCTTCTTTTGCAGTATATATATGTATCGATCGGTGATTGTTCTTTGTCAAATCTTTTAAGCTACACAGTCATAAAAAAGAAGAGACTAAAGCATTTTTCTCTTCTTTCTTTTGCAGTAACTATGTTGATTCCCATACTCAGTTTACTTCTCTCACTGAATTACATACCATGCAAAGCTCAGGTTTCTTCCACCTTTTACGATGACACATGCCCTAATGCACTCAGCACTATTAGAACTTCTATTGGTGCTGCGGTGACAAGTGACCGTCGCATGGCAGCCTCTCTCATTCGCCTTCATTTTCACGATTGTTTCGTTCAGGTTCATTTTGTTTCTTAATTAAATCTCTCTCTCTCTCTCTCTCTCTCTCTCTCTCTCTCTCTCTCTCTCTCATATGCACTTCTTCTATATATGCATATATGCATGGTGCTTCTATATATTTATACATCAGATGTAAGAACATGCGGATTTTAATTAATCAGGTCAATTTTGCAGGGTTGTGATGCATCCATATTACTAGAAGTTGCCCCAAGTGAGAAGGATGCATTTAGGAACGGAGGTGTGAGGGGCTATGAAGTTATAGATGATGCAAAAGCTGCTGTCGAGAGCGTATGTCCTGGCATTGTTTCTTGTGCAGATATACTTGCTGTCGCTGCTCGTGATGCTTCTGTAGAGGTAATATATAGCAAAAGCTTTATATATATGATGTACATAAATAAAGATTCATAGAATCTGCAATTTCCACTGGTAATTAAATTAATTAGTTTTTTTATGTCTGAAATTAATACGTAGGTGGGTGGTCCTTCATGGTCAGTAAGGCTTGGAAGAAGAGATTCTCTAACAACAAACCCAGATGAAGCTAACAATATTCTTCCATTAGGTAGTATGGGTTTAGATGTACTCATTCCAATCTTTGCTCAAAAGTCACTCAGCGTAAGAGACATGGTTGCTCTTTCAGGTAATGATCACTTGCATCTATATATATTTTAATTAAATATATCTTCCTGGCAGATGAAATTAATGAAAACATGTTTGTTACATAATATATACTTGTTGTCATGCAGGGGCTCATACAATAGGGCAAGCAAGATGCGTTACGTTTAGGGCAAGGATATACGCCAACGACTCAAACATAGATCCTGAATTTGCTAGTAACCTTAGGACCAACTGTCCACAGACTGGAGGCGACGGGAACTTGGAGCGACTTGATTTGGTGACACCAAATACATTTGACGTCAACTACTTCAGGAATCTTTTGGAAAGAAGGGGTCTTCTAACATCAGACCAGGCACTGTTTAATGGAGATTCAACTGATAGCATCGTACAAGAGTACGTCGACAACCCTGCTTTATTTGAATCTGATTTTGCTGCAGCGATGGTTAGGATGGGAGACCTTGATCCCCTTACCGGTGCTAATGGGGAGATAAGGACTCTTTGCACTGCTCTCAATTAAGAAAGAAGAAGTGATGTACGTAATGATCGATGTATAATAATATTTCAACCACAAGTAATAAAACTATCCACTACGTACTATAAGAATTTTCTTCATTTTATTTATTCTTAGAGTAAATTATGCAAATGGTCCCTATGGTTTAGGTAATGTGTGTTTGGTCCCTAATTCTTTTTCTTAACTTGGACTCGGACGGTCCTTAACATGTATTTTTTTTGTGCGTTTAGTCCCCGATCTAAATAGATTGTATTACCCTTTTTATTTCTTTTTTAATTTGTTAATTATTTATTTATTAAAACAAATGGGTCCCACCCGTTACCTTCACCCTTCCCATGTCTCTTAATCATCATCATCGACCAATTCATCTGCTACCACCACTACATATTCCTTTCTCCTTCCTCCCTTCCTTTACCTGCCGGAAAGCTCCTAACCACCTCTTTTCTCTCACCGAAAAGCCTAATAGTCTCTCCTCCATCAACACCACCACTTTCTTCACCCTCGATCGAGAAGAAGGGGTAATATATACCGGACACTGTAGATCTCCGCCTTGGGAGACCGTTGCTTAGGGCTCTACACTACTGCTCAATCCCTACATCGGAGACCGTGTTAGCGACTCACCACTGTTGCTTGGACCACCATCGACCTATGGACAATGTTGCTGGTGTTAGGGTTCCACTATCGCAAAATCGGTGAGTGCAAAATCGACGCCACCAGCATTCGTTGCTCAAGCCACCAACGTCCACCGCCCATGCAAGTCCTTCTCGTCGAATCCAATTTCTTTCGTCGAACATTCAATTTGAAGGTTCGAATTTTGCAAAGTTTGGTTGAAATCCTTTCGGTTTTTGCAAGTTCCGATGACTCTTCAACTGATATGCAATCATATCGGTGGCAATTCAGAGTTGAATTGATGAACCCTAATGTCGACCTCCGGACCGCCTCTACTCCACCTAGATGGATTTGATTTCAGTAGGTTTGTTTCAGGTTTCATTTTAGTTTTAACTAGATTATAGCCCGAGTTAAACGCGGGGAACACATAAAAAAACATATAATTGTCTACAGATATTGCATAATGATTATAAAAAATATATATGGTTATTGGTATTATTGAAATGTGTAGAAAATACATTGAAAACGATAAATATCTATAATCATTGAATGACCTCTTTATTGACAACATTTTTTCTTTTATTAGTTGAACGATGTTCCTCGTCTCATATAGTTTTAAGCATTTTAATTAGACGTTCCTTCCATAATAAGGTTACTTAATTTAAACATATATTGACAACCAATATACCGTTTTTTCCACTGCATTAAATATTGACAACTATTTCATTTATTCAAATAAAGTCATATAGTATAATTTATAGAATGTTAAATGTTATATGGATTTAATTTTAGTATATCATCAATGAAGATTCTTTTCTAAATCCTGATTGACTTATTTTAAATTGATTATGAATATAAGTGCTAGTTTTTATGTTTGTTCTTATTTATTTGGTGTTCGCAAGAATTTTGCATTAGTTTTGGCGCAACTTTAAATAATTTTAGTATATCATCAATGTAATTTGGTATATATCTTTCAATTATATGAAATATCAAATGATGACATTGCATTACTATTGTGATAATTTAGTTTATATATTGTATTTTTACTAATCTTAACGGTCTTATTTTTTATAATAACCGTAACGCTTTTACTAATTGTACTTTTTACAAATCTCCTAATATCTTATAATTTTTATCTTACTTTATAATTTTTCATAACTATGTTATTTTCAAGATTGACTGTCTTAATAGTTTTTTTTTCAGTCTATTCAATTTATATTTCATTGTACAACATCATCGTTTGTATGTATTCTGAAATTTCACTTTAAAAATGCTTAATGTTTACACCTTGATATTAATTTTTTTTAATAAACCCGTTTAATAATTATAGAATATATATATCATTTTAATTAACATTTACTTCCTTCATTAAATCAAATTCCTCATTAAACGTATATATTTTTGGAAAGTAATAATTATAATGTGACATCATTATCTAAGACGTAAATGCTTGATATACCTTTGGAGGAAAAAAATCAGGATCATTAAAAAATTTTATATAAAGAAAATCCAAATTTAAATTTGGTGAAATTATGGATGAAATTACTGGCGAAAATTATTTTGGACGGAGTTGTATTTTGTAAGATATAATAATATTACAAAATTCGAAATATGTATATTTGTTGCGTAAATTTATAAATTTTATTGTTACTATATAAAGATAAAAAAGTAGGTTGGTATGATATACAAAAACATAATAATTTCAATGATATTTTAAAATCATGCCAAAATTAACCGGATTCTTATGACATAAAAATTAAAAAAAATCATAACCATCTCTAATATATAAAAGTAACATATTCGTAATTAATGTCAGTTCCCAAGATAGTTAAATTCTGTTTAGTTAAAGGTACGTAATATCTTTTCATGTTTATTTGAAAAGTTTTAAAAAAGTAGTTAACTGATTTCATGTAATTTGTGACAAAGAAAATCGAAATATATGAATACATATATTTGATATAGGAATAAAAAATAATCGAAAAAAATATAAAAAACAAAGAAGGTACTAACCTTCTAGTACACAAGAACGAATGTTTGAAGCAGAGAATGATGATGGAAATTATAAACTGGAATTGCAGGTTCAATTTTGAATTTTGGGTTTGAATCGTTGTTTGATTTTGTTTAGGATTTAAATATTAGGTTTAATTTTGGTTTTTGATTTGATTAGCAGATTGGATTTTTGTTTTGGATTTTAGTTATAGATTCAATTTGGCTGGAGAACGGGAATTGTGTTCCGAGATGGTCACCAGAGGTGGTACCGGAACTCGAAGAGGATTTAAGATGGAGTGGGTCATTTTTCCAACAATATATTAATAATTTATTTTATTTTATAATAATTAAAATAATAAAAAAAGAATTAACAAAATAAAAATATATCACTAAGGGCAATAAAGTCTTTTTAGATCTGGCAGAGACCAAACACGCAATAAAAAACATTTTAGGGACTGTCCAAGTTAAGAAAATGAATTAATGACCACACGCGCAGATTACCCTAAACCACAGGGACCATTTGCATAATTTACTCTTTTATATATATATATATATATATATATATATATATATATATATATATATATATATATATATATATATATATATATATATATATATAATCTACTTGTGGAAATGTTTGGTTTAATTTTTCTGTTTGATCCAAATGCCAATATTGTAAAAACGAATTAAAGAACTATTTTCTAGATGATACGGAGATAGTGCAAGGAGAAGGACAATTCCAAAACTAAACGGGATTAAACAACTCAACTCATCAACCTTAAAATCCACTAACGAATACAAATTTGATTAAGAGTTGACCCCTTAATAATGGAAATAAACAAAGAGACATAGAACAAAAGAAAAAAGAACAAAGTTCAACGATATTTATGACAGATTAACTCCCATTTCCACTCTACAGTAGCATTTGATTTTTATTTATTTATTGGGTTAATGTCATAAAAACCCTCAAGTTTTCAGGGTTTTGTCGGTTTTGCCCAAAGTTGAATTTTATATCCGTTTTTACCCTCACAATTTCCACAAAATGTTCGGTTTTACCCTTTTACCGGTGATAACAGGTTTTCCATGTTACCATTATATTAAATTCGCAAAAAAACCCTTAAGTTTATCGTTTTTTTTTTTATGTTTTTACCCTTAAGTTTATAATTTTTTTACACTTTTACCCTAAGTATTTTTTTTTCATAATATACGTATTCATGCAAATCGTATTTATATACGAAAAAATATTTAATTAAATAGTGTGTGTATATATATATATATATATATATATATATATATATGTGTGTGTGTGTGTGTGTGTGTGTGTGTATGTGTGTGTTTGCAGCGTTATACCATTTAAAAATAAACTAATATTTTTAGAATTATGAATACGTATTTTATAAATATAGTTTTTAGAAGTATAAATACATATTTTTATATTTTTAGAAATATTAATTTGTATATATACTTCTAAAAATATATTTATACTTTTAAAAAAACATATATCAAAATACATATTTACACTTGTAAAAATATATGTATATACTTATATAAACGTAAAAATAAATATTTATACTTCTAAAATACATATTAACATTTCTAATATATATATATATATATATATATATATATATATATATATATATATATATATATATAGACACACACACACGTTTATGATTGAACAAGTTATTTTATTGATATGCATATTTTTAAATACATAAACATACGTATTTGTAGTTATAAAAACATATTAATTTGGTTTTTTTTTGTTTTACATTTTAAACGGTTCATCCAGAAAATATATATATATACAGAGACACATAAAGAAATAACATTAAAAAAATGTAAATATAATATTTAATTAATTTTTTATCGTATATAAATATGATTTTTTTTGCATTGAATACGTATAATATTAAAAAAAATACATAGGGTAAAAGTATAAAAAAATTATAAACTTAAGGGTAAAAGCGTAAAAAAACTATAAACCTAAGGGTTTTTTTTGCGAATTTAATATAATGGTAACATGGAAAACTTGCTATCACCGGTAAAAGGGTAAAACCGAACATTTTTTGGAAAATGTAAGGGTAAAAACGGACATAAAATTCAACTTTGGACAAAACCGACAAAACCATGAAAACTTGAGGGTTTTTATGACATTAACCCTTATTTATTTATTTTTTTGGAACCGGCGAGATTTTACTAAAGACCAAACTTAACAAGATGCCAAAGAGGCCACAACCCAAAACATGTTATAAAGTACAAGTACAATTTAAGAAATACGCCAACTGTGGGGAAGGGGGCAAGTTACAGAATGCTAAATGGGTTATTAAACCACTTTCACCCAATTGCAATTTCCCATTTTACCCCTATGTTTAATCCATCCGTAAATCATAGTAATCCCCTGGTCCGCTGTTGTGGAAGGTTTTGGAGGAGTTTTGTTAAAAATCATGTTAATCTTATCATCCAAATATACCACAGAACGCCATAAACAATGTTTAATAGGATTTTCTTTTTCTTAGTGCAGTTCCC